TGCTGCCCTCTGGCCCGCGGCCACCCAGCCGGCCGTGTCTCCTGCAGCCTCCCCTGCAGCGGCTTTGCCGGTCTCCGCTTCGCTGTGCTCCCTCCGCGCAGTACGAGGGTGCGTTGCCATTGACGCCACTCCTTGCGCGGGCCGCGGTCGAGTCCGGGGGCAGTCCTGCTTACAGTACACAGCGAAACGTGTTACGTGACCTGGATTTTTTTCATAGTCAGTCCGACACGCTGCTTGATGGAAGACCAGACCTAGCAAATGGCAGGCAGGCGTGTCAAAGCAGCCCTGGTGACTTGATAAAGGTAGGAAAGACACAGAGCAGCTGAGACGGCAGACATCTCCGGGAACATGAGCTGCAAGAAGTAGTGAAAGTGCCCTGTCTAGGGAAGGAATTTGAGAGATGCATACGGGCTAGGAGGAAAGCTGCATGTGAAAACCAAATTTTTCTAAAATTGGTGTGATTTGGAGTGATACGACTAGCATTCCTCAAAAATACAGACGTGTAGTGTACAGAGGTGGTGAATGAACATGACTTAGTCTGAAATTAGTACTGGGGGGAGGAAGATCTTTTGCTGTCACTAGGGTGATGAAAGATACCAGTTATGATTTGAGGTAGAAACGTGTGTGTGGCGACAGTGGGGTGGCGGAGGCCCTAAAGGTCTACATGATTTACCTACACGATTTCTGTTCCTTTGGGAACTTGGAGGAGAGCGAGTGTTACAGACAACAAAAGAGAAGGAATCCAAAAGAGAAGGAATCCAATATGTCAACACGATGCTCAGAAACCCAAAACAGGATTAAATGGTGGAAGTCGGTGGTCTTGCACCTACAGTGGTTTGAAGGATAACAGAGAATCCTGCTCAGGTTTGCTGTGCGTACCTGCTTTGGGGGAATGTTTGTTGAAACAAAGCTGTCCTTCTCCTTCCTACTCTTTGTTCAGATAACTCTTGCATAAGGCGATGACGCATCATTAAGTAGTTACTTTTTCTCGTGGTGAACAGGAACTGTCTAGCGGAGAAATCACAGGCTTAACTTTCTGAGTTGACCACATCTTTCCAGTTTTGCTGTGGGCAACACACTCGATTAGTTTCCTTCCAGTATTTTCCACGTGGAAAATTTCTCCTCCCTTACAAGGCCACAAGTGTCAATCTCTTCTTTGTCCTTTCCTTGCTTCTGTCCCCA